CTTTCCCTTTTGCACAGAACATTCTGGCTTAAACCTGGTGTTCACTGAAGGCCTGTACTGCAAACTGCTATAAGAACATTTGATAGTGAAATTGCAATGGAATATATATCCAAAAGTGCATGTAGGGAAGGATAAGATGGTTTCATGAGATTTTAGTTTTTAGAATTTCTGAAGACTTAAAAAATAAATTGTATGTTTCTTGGTGTTGTGACTTTTAACATTAAAGCCTAATTTACAGGACAAGAGTTTTGGAGCATTATCTTATATTTTTATTTTCCCTTGGGAGTGATAATTTATTTACCTGTTGGTTTGTGTGTGTTTTTTCCCTTGAAGCTTTGTGAATGATGAAATCCCACTCTCTTCTGATGCCAGTAGATTAGTGTTTCCCACCCCCAGCCACGTAGCAATCTAAAAAACTATTAAACTTAAAACAAGGACCAGAATCAGAGGGAACCACTTTACTGAGGGAACACTGTTCCTGAACAGAAGCAAACCACAGATAGTGTTTACAAATAGCTCTTGGCCGCTCTTGGTCAGAACAAAAGAAAGATCTGTGAGGCTGTGTCTAAATTTATGGCTGGAACGACTTCCAAATTCTTCTGATCACAACTTTTGGAAAAGCAAGGCAATTTTGTTAGATTGAAATAATATGAAGAGGGCTTCCCTGGTGGTGCAGTGGTTAAGAATCTGCCTGCCAATGCAAGGGACACGGGTTCAAGACCTGATCCGGGAAGATCCCACATGCCGCGGAGCAACTGAGCCCTTGCGCCACAACTACTGAGCCTGCGCTCTAGAGCCCGCAGGCCACAATTACTGAAGCCCGCTCGCCACAACTACTGAAGCCCATGCGCCTAGAGCCCGTGCTCCGCCAACAAGAGAAGCCACGACAATGAGAAGCCCACGCACTGCAACGAAGAGTAGCCCCCGCTCGCCACAACTAGAGAAAGCCCGCGCACAGCAACGAAGACCCAACACAGCCAAAAGTAAATTAATTAATTTTAAAAAAGAAATAATGTGAAGATAATATAACAGTACTACCTACCTACATAATCTCATTTAATCAAAGTGACCAACAAATCCAAATTTATGCTGAATGTCCTCCTGTGTAGAAAGTGGCAAAACAGTTTGATTAAAATTTATGATTATGGTTTGAATTATTCTGTTGCTTAGCAAACAAACAGTACTTTCTTTATCTAGGGTAGTGAGAGAAGGGAAGGATAAAAAAGGAGATAACTCCAAATCTCACTGTTGACATTAACTCTGAGTTTATTTCTAATCATATTCTAATTAATCAGTATTTTTATTGTTGTTAATCCAAGCAACAGCCAAGTTGCGTATTACTCCTTTTTCTATTTCCTTCCCCTTGGTAGAGGTCCTAGTATAATACATTAGGGGGATTAGTGTGCAGAAGAAGCCAGGATAAATATTTAGATAATAATTAAGAGATGGTTTGTTTGGACTACAAAGGATCATGGTTTGACTATACTGCCAGGCATTCTCAGACTTTGTAGTTTTTTTGCTGGTTTCAGCAAAACCGTTTCAGCTAGTCTCTGATCTTGGAAGTGACAGCGCTGTCACATCCTGGGCCTTGTGGTGTTCCTGGTGCTGAGTCACCACTGTGAAGCTGAAAATGAGGTTCAAAGAAAGCCAAATCTTTTCAGATGGCCTGTGAATCTTGGACCTCCCACCTGCACCTCCCTGATGCCTTTAATCCTGTTTCTTGGTGGAAGCTGTTGTTCTACAGCTTGAAAAGAAAACAAAAGAAAAAACCAAAAAAGACCTCTTTGACTTTTGTTTTCTCACCCGCTTCTCTTCTTTTCCAAGAGAAAAAACCTTTTATGGCATATGTGACCATATGGAGCTGGCCCCTACTGGATAGGAAATTGAATGGAATGTGTCATTTGTAAACTGTCTGAACAAGAAAAGAATTTGTTTACCTTTTTAAGACAAGTGATTTAAATTATACTTCAATTTAACCCCTATGCAGGCAGTTCCCCATTTTTCTTCTTATCCTTAATTTAACGTTTACCCATTGAATTACTGTCATAATTAGATCTTCCCATTTCTCTTACAGACATTAATTTTCCCACTCATCTGTTTCTGGGGGAACTTCTGTTTCCAGCAACATGTTTACAGTATTTCTCAAGCGCCCTGCAGATTTTCACTAAATATTTGGAGGCTTGACTACTTCAAATCTCTTAAAAACAAATCGAAATATAAATAACCGCATATACCTGTGTACACACGTATATGCACATACATCCTTTGAATTCTGGGCGGTCTTGCATGCTACTTGTAGACTGCTGTATAAGTCAGGAAGGATTCCTTCTTATAATGGTTCAATATAAATACTGAATCTCAGCTTCCTTAAGTTGTTTAGACTGCTTCATCTTCATCAACAAAAGTGAACAAACAGTTGTATCATCTAGCTGGAGAAAATGGGATAGCATTTGTAATAAAATAATCATGTATCTGTAACCATTATCTGCACAATCATGGCCTGTGGGGTGTAAACAAAACAAAATCTTAGTTTTTTCTCTCATCATCACTTTAAAGTTTTTTCAGTGGGTAAAGATTTTTCTTTTTCTTACCACAGAAAAAAATTACCAGCAGGCTACAGACTTTCCTTATCACTTTTAGGTAATAATAAGTTACAGGATCACCTCTAAGTTTCAGATCAGTTTTAATTGTCTAATAAAAACTATCTAGTCAATGTATTAATCTTCCTTTTAATCTTCATTTATCTTGTACGAGCTGCAGGGAGAATCTGTTGTCCATGGGATGGAATGTGCTTCTTATCCTCCCAGGCTGAATCAAGGATGGGAGCATGGGAGGAGGCATGGAAGTTCTTTCTTGGCTGGTCTATTGTCAGATGGCTTTGGGTCCTCTGGTCCTGGCAGATGTTTGATGCTGACACTCTTCCTGGTGGGGCTCCTGCACTGCCCCTGCGACTGCCCCTCCTGGGACATGGATGAAGGAC